CTAATTTACAACTCTTTAGGCAAAAAATATTTTCAGATCTATCTTCCGACTTCATCCTTAATCATTTATATTTAAAATTCAAAAATCTAAATGCAAAAGTTAATGATGATATGAATCTATGGGGTGTAGGCAGTGAATGAAATTTAGAGGTAGAAGAAAAGGAATAAAAAGAAAGAAAGAAAATACTAAAAAGCAGATAAAAGTTTTGAAGTAAATATACAGTACAATGCTTAGAATAATTAATGTAAAATTTTGAAATAAATAATAAATAGAATTTTCAAAAACAACAATTGTTGCATAGAATACTTAATTTAAATATTGAAGATTACATATATGCATAATGTATTTTAAAATTCTTATATTAATAGAGTTAAAACATCGTTTTTGTTATTAAAATTTTCATAAAAGTTTTGTTAATATTTGTCTTATTGTGAGTACTGAAGTTGGATTCTGAAAGATGTTGAAAAATAAACAGAATTGATTCCTTGAAAAGGGCCATAGTATTTTTAAGTTACGAATGAAGTTATAATGCTTTATCTAAATAATAATCTGTTCATGCTTACAAAATTTTACCAAATATCAACTGAAATAGCTTATAAAAAAATTACCCAAACATCTAAAGTCAGATTGTTTATGAGCTATATTAAATAGTCAAATTACAAAATTTGATTATTTAAAAATTAACACAATAATTTGGCATTAGATCTTTGGATAATTGAATATTGGGCTAATTTTTCCTCCTTTTTGTTAACTAACTCCTAAAATTCTTTCATTCCCAGTGGAGCAAAGACAAAAAATATATTTAATTTTAGAGTATGTTCCAAATTACTGAAAATAAAATACAATAATAAAAATCTGAAAGTTTTCATTAGATTGTAGAAATTAATGTTTAAAAAGTATATTGCTTCAGGTTTCAAATAATTATCCTAATTTGACTTATAACTGTCAGTTTATGCAGAGTATTATGTCAGTATTCACTCAATAATTCAGATCTCATTCAAAAAAAACATTAATTTTTTTTTTATATCTTTTAACTAATTTAGTATTTATCAAAATTTAACAGACTTAAAATTATCATCATTGATAATATTATAAAATAAGAATTAGAAATAAATGAATTAAACAAAAAACAAAAAATACTAACTTATACTGGCACAACATATACCTTCAGATGATAAAGTATCAATGCTTGTCATCAGTGCTGAAATCTTAAATTTCTGCTTTGTGTATATAAATATTGGAATAAAAATTAAGAAAATGAAAAACATAAGTTTTTACATATTTCTTTTATATAGCCAAACCTGTCTAAAGTCATCCTCTGTAACATTACACCTCTTAAGACACTCAAAATAAATTATCCCAATTTAAGCCATAAATAAATCAATTATGCTAAAATCAAACCTCCATTAAGTCATTTCTTATGCTTGTCTATGCAATACAATATTATATAAAAGTCATGCTTGACAGAACCAGCAGTCATCATTATACAAATTAGTTTTAATTTCATTTTTTAAATCTTAAATATTTCATCAGTGTAACTATAAATATTTTTAGCCACATTGATTATAAAATAGTTTTTATAAATAATATTTTATTAAGCTACTATACTTCAGATATAGGAAAGAAAGATGATAATCATATATTATCATCTTAGGACTAAAAAAAAAAGTTACTTCAGCAGAAGCACAGATGAACTGCATCCAAAGCAACAAATAAATTTAAATTCTCAGTTTCCTTTCATATTTCTACAACATGCAAAAACCTACTGGTGATTCAAAAAATAGACATGTTTAAAAGAAACACGCAACTTGTATCTCAAAAACTAAATGGCCAATTGCTTGAAATAGTTCCAAAAGCATAAAAATTAATTAATGATTTGATGATCATTGAAAAATAACCAAATATGCTGAACATTCAACAACACATTTTTTCCATTGGTGGCTTCATAGTTTTAAGCAACAATGACATATTAATCAAACCAACCTCATGGTATATCAACATCTACTTCTAATAGTGATAACCATAGGGATATACAAATGTTAACTGAAAAGATCGTAAGTTGCAAGCTTGAAGATGTTTATAATTTTGAAACAGTAACGCTCAAAAAAATATTAGTTATTTCAAGTAGCTAGAAAAGATTAGTGATAAGGTTTTATCTTTAAATAAAATCAAAAATATAATTAAAAATAAAAATGATGAAACTAACACCTATGTGCAATTTCCAGCAAATAACTGTAAAGTTCTAATGTTTTCTGCCACTATTTAGAGACCCTCATCAGGAATAAAATAAAAAAACAAAATCAGTTCATTCCATGGAAAATAACATTATGTTTAAAACAGAAATTCTAATTAAAACTAATTACTTTTGCTCTTTAAAGCAAATAAGTGTTTTGTAAACCACTTCTGTTGTATTTGTCTATTATTAAAATGTTTGTTAAAAGTTATTTATTATTAGCTGTATTTAAATTTAAAACACTTTGAGTTCCCTCAATAAACTCAATTTTTCTGAAGTCCCAAACTCAAAACTTTTAGTCCCAAAGTTATTTTTTTTATAGACAGGTCTGACTATACATATTTTTTATAAGTACCAAAGAATAATCAATATAAGTAACTAATAAAGTATTCACTATAACAAAATTATGCTTTAATATTTTTTTACTTTCTATAAATTTTTAAAATTTATCTTTACATATTTTTAAGGTAATAAAATTATTATTGAACAAAATACTTAAAATTATTTCAAATTAAATTGCATTTCAACATTTAAATAAATAATTAAAAAATTCTAGATCTTTTAATTATTAAAGCAATCTTATGGTCCCATTAATGCAATTGTCTGCCATTCTAACAATCTAACAGAAAAAAAATTCAGATACATTCTTATAATTAATACAAAACTAATATCACTAAAATACAAAATGACTATAGAAACATTTTTATTATCCAATTCTAATATATTCAAATATAAATAATACATTTAAAATAAAAAAATTAACTTTATAAATCACTAATGAGAAAATTGAATAATAATAATATAAATTGAGCAATTGTCAACTTTTAGAATAAGTACTATCAATTTACAGTTCACAAATATCTTTAAAATTTTTACTGATATTTATACTTAAAGCATTTATAATTGTTTTAATACTGATATTTAAAAAAAAATTGATATATTATTGACATATATTGAATATAAAAGCAGTGAGATCAGAAAATTAAAAATTTATTATTTTAAAGTAATATATCAAATTTTATGATATATCTATCAGTTGACAATAAAAATATTGACATCCACATAATGTTAAAAGAACATATACAATTTCAAACTAATTAAAATAATTGGAAGCATCAATATTCAGAGATTAATATTAATATAAATTGTATAGAAAAAGCATTTAATTTTAAAACAAATTTATAAAAGTAAAAATAAAATATAATATGTTAAAATTTTGTATATCTTTCAATTTATCTATTGTTGTTTTATAATTTCATGATTTATTTAATTTAAAAGAGAGAAATTCATATCTTCATTATTTTTCAAATGATTAAGACCTTGAAAGAATTAACTTTTATGTATTATATAAAATAGAATAACCTATTGCCCAATTAAAATAACTACTTATTTTAAATTTATTATTCAATAGAAAATTTTTATCATCAAATTTAAAACAAGAATTATATTTCTAAATTTTAAATCTTCCATAACTTTTATTAATAGTTAATTATTACTCATTAAATTTTTAAAAATTTCTTTTACCAGTGTCCACTTAAAAAATCATTCAGCTAATACTATAAAGCATCAATTTCAAAATATAATAATACTAAATACAAGAGAAAATTTTCTCTATCATGATATTTACAAAATTTAAATCAATCATTTGAATTTGTTTCTTCAATACTTCCCTCTTGTGAAAACTTGTAACAGGAATATGCATACTGATTATGAGGATTAATAATGTCTTCTGCACTCTGATTGATTTCAAGGAAGACAGTTTCTATATGACTTCTATTTTTTTCTTCTTCTTCAACTATAATATCTTCTTCATTGAGCACTAACAAGGTTTCTTGTAAATGAGAATTTTGTGGTTTTTGTAAATCAGATTTAATAGTTTGATCTTTTTCACTTGATTTAACAAACTGTACATCTTGATTCTGTAATATGCTTGGTGATGTAATTATTTCATTTTCTACAAAATTATTACTCTTTAATGTGTGGCTGGCATTATTACTTTGAATTAATAACTTTGTTTTATTTACAAAAGGTGTAAAACACATTTCTTCGTCAAATAAATAATGTGTTTCATTTTTTCTTGAATTTATTTCTTCTTGAGTATTATCCGATCTTAGTTTAAATGTAGAATTTTCAGACAATACTCCATCTTCTTTTTTTCTTTCTACAAAACTTTCTTTTCTGATTGATTTTTCTTCCATAACACTAATTTCATCTGTTTCAAAAATTTTCTTTTTACGTAACTGTTCAAAAATTTCCTTTTCTAATGAACCCTCTTCCATTGAATCATCTTGAGAAGAAAAACTTCCCATTGAAGGCAAGTGAAGTTTATGTACAAAATCTACTGTGTTATTGTATGTAGACACTGGTGAAGGTTTAGTTTCTTGGTTATTATCGCTATGTGTATTTAAACGATTTGCACGTGCATATAAATTTGGGCTTACCTGACCAGTAAGAGGATGGTCAACTTCTACTCTAATTCGCGATTGTTCTACTACTACTTTTGAATCTGTATCATTGTCTACGGATTCATTATTAAATTGTCTTCTATGCAATATATACCGAATATCACCATTTGTTGTTAAATCTGTTGATTCACTACTTTTATTTTCTTCTAATATAACTTCACCATTTATATTTAACATCCCACTATCCGTTTTGTCAACTAACTCTTTAATTAGGCCATTCCCCAATGGTGCTACTGACAATATTTTATCTGTTTGCCCTACATTTGTATTAACTAAAACATCAGAACTATATTGATTATTACTTTCAACTGAAACTGCTTCCTTTTCTTCTAAATGATAAGAATCATGTGAAATGTTATCATCTGTATCTTGACCTAGATAATCTGGACTACGAAGTCCACCTCCATCATCATCTAACTCAGGAGACTCATGTTGTAGATTTTCTTGTTCTATATGATCTTCATTATTTTTATCATGCATATTTCCATTGGTGGTTCCAATTATACCATCAGAAAGAGAAAATGGTGAAGGTGGTTCAGAATGGGATAATGGTTTAGTTTTGGTTTCATTGCATTCTTCATTTGGTGGTAAAGCTACTGATCCATATGACTGGCTAGTGGATATAGGAAGTAATGGTTGAGCTGATGCAGTATTTCCCATTTTCTGCATATCATCTGTTGTTCCTGAAACTCGCAGACTAACAGATCTGAAAAAAAATTATAAAAGATAGAATATAATATATCAATAAAAGAATTAATGTCAATTTTTTATGTAAAAAATTCTAATTACAGTAGAGTCTCGATTATTCGAGGTAAGTGAACTGAAAGTACTTTAGATAAGCAAAATACTGGATAAAATTGAATGTTTGACAAATTATTAAATAAAATGGATAAAATATATTAACAGGTACTCTTTTTTTTTACATTATACCTACTTATTGAACATAATGACTTAACTACATAATAAAACACTTTAGTTTACAACTTAAAGCAAATGAAAAAACTATGATTATAATTAAATTCCTTTCATCATTTTTAAAATCTATATTGTCATCAGAAGTCACCAGAATAAATTCTTTGTAAAATTTCTAAAGCTCTTTTTGAAAATCACACATTTCCTGGACAAGATACATAATAGAACATAGCATATTGCAGTTTATTTTGTCTTTGTTAGTAAAGTACTCTTTCAAGTTCAACTCAGATAATGGTTAAACAGGACTTGGTTAATTGGGATTCTACTATAGTAATAATTATTTTTATATATTAAATTCATTAATTTGAATATTAATAAACATGTATTATATGATTATTATATTTGTACTTTATCCATTTCTATTCCTACTTCAATTTCTGAAAAAGACAATTATGGTATTCTTTGAGAAAAAATTTTTCAATTGTGAAGAGCAATTTCTTTACAAATAATTTATTGATTACAGTTAAAAACAAAATTCTTTAGCATTTAATACACAAAACTGTGATTGAGAGAAAAAAAAAACAGTTACAGAATGATATTTCTCAAGCCAAAAACATTTTTAAATTCATCAAATCATCATCATCATCAATGATTAAATTATCATCTTCATATATGTATTGTGATCATGCTATCATAATACAGCTTAATATATTTCTATAAAATACATACTTGTAAACAGAATTAATAATTAATCCAGATATTGATATAACCCATCCAGCACTTTTTTAAACATACAAATTGCTATATATTTAGATAGATCAGATTAAAGAATATGATAGAATTTAATTTAACAAATTTATTTATAATTAAACAATTTAACATATAGCTAAAAGAGTTGGCATTTATTTAAAAATTTAATAATGAATTAGTTTTTTTAATTTTGAATAAATTATTTAGATGTCTACAAAATAGTATGAGAATAAAATTAAATAGTCATCTTTCACTTACTAAATCACAGTTAAATCATTTACATACTACTGAAAACTGAATCTCTTAAATTCAGGATATAAATAGATTGTTCATTTTTACATTTTTCTAATTTTTAAACTTAACACACTTCATGCAGACAAGATAGAGTCCTTTCCTCTATAATAAATTTTTGTCCCTTTTCAGATGGCTTTATAAATCTCAAGCTTTTCAAGATATCTTATCTAGTAAGGGTTCCTACAGTAGTGCAGGGACACTTACTAGATATGACGTATTCTCCAAGTTCACTTGTACATCTTTGTGTAAGAAATAGTGGCAAGGGTAGTGCAGAAAAGTTGCTTTCTGAGGTTGTAACCATGTTCTTTAATCCCTGCCTTGAGGCACCTAGCTATAGTGTTCAGGTATTCAAGAGTGGTGGAGTCTGTAGTCTTGCACAGGTATGCTATTTACAGCTGGTGGAAGACTTCTTTCAGTTCAATCTCATTCCTAAATATCAAAAAAATTCTAGTTCTTTCATAGCCTCTTATTAATAAATTGGGTAATTTCTCTGTAGATTGAGTAAAGGCCTTATCGTAGGCAATTGCTACAAAGGGCCTGTCATCAAAGCACAATTTCTCAGTCACTATGTTAAGGCACAAAAGCAGTCCTTTAATTAGTTTAGGTTTGTAGCCATACTGTTCACCTAATTCCACAATATATCTAAGCTCCTCCTCTCTAACCCTTTCAGTTGAGTAGTGCATGAAGGCTTTATCAACCAGAGTCCTAAATGCCACCACCTTGTAGATAAAGATGTCACATGTGCATGCCAGAATGAAAATCAGACTATATGACCCCTTCCAGAACACTATTGTTAAAAGTTGTCCTTGGTATAACATGATCTACGTATCCAGGAAGTGCACATACAAGAAATGTGCACTTCCTGCTAAACTTTCAAGACCATATAAGTTACAATTAACTCTTTGTAGGAAGTTTGTAATGTCTTAGTCATATGGAGACAAAAACCTATCATCCACATATCTAACATACACTATAGTTTCACTGTTAAAGGTAGACAGGATCATTTTCAAATTTCAGATTACCAACTCTCAGTGTGTCCTTGATCCAGAGAAGAAACACCCTTGTCTAGATGTAGGTGACTGCTGAAAGGTAATGAAGGAAAAGTGGCACATGAGGTGTGAGAGCTCCAAGACAGACCAGGTGTACTGTGATCTGGTCCATCTTGTCCGTGCTATCAATGGTACAGATGTATCTTTGATAGTACAGATAGAAAAGTCCCTTAGCTCACAAAAACAGCTTTGATGCAGAGAGGAACATGGATTCAAAGTCACACACACCATAAAGACCAACCATAGTTGTAAAATCTTTTAGCCTGCATAATATATCATATGCAAAGGTCACTCTGAAAAATTTTTAAAAAATCGTCAATTATTTTGTTAGTTTTAAATTTTTTTGCCACTTCAAATTATTTATCATCAGTGATGTTTTTTACTAATTAATGCAGATGGTGGTAGCCTTATCAGTTTGGAGTCTGGAAAACAAAACGAACATGTTAAGCTGTCACTTAGAAATAGGAATCGTTTTTGAATAATTTTTAAGTGAGTAATTCCAAACAATATATTTAATCACAATGCTTAGACAGTATTTCACAGGTTTCGTCGTGTCAAAATTTTTATGCTTTAGTCTATTGGAAAAAGATCAGAGTGAAAAAATGTCCCCCCCAAAAAATTCCCCAAATTTTCTGTCAATTGATTAATAATTCTCCAATATAGAAAAGCTGGGCAACATTGCAAAAAGGCATGAGTTACCTTCGTCCACAATGTCACTTCCTGCTTTCCATCTTAACTTGCCACATGACGTTGTGACATCACTAGGTGTGCATGTGTGATGCATGGGACTCCCATTGCACGGGAGCTCAAATTATTAATTTTCCTAAAGAATGCTTTATGATTCAATTTCATGCTGAATGTTGAAATAAGAGGACTAAGAATTTTATCACCAGAATTATATTTTTATCACCATTTTAATAAAAAATATTGCCAAGGGGTGATTTTGGCACTATGCAGTGTGGCCCCTGCATTTGAGTTGGTAATTGTGTGCACATTATCATCTAGGTTGTTCAATATATACAAGCTGAGAATACATTCCATTCAAACCAAAGGAGAGATAGACTTAGTCACAATAAGCCTTAGTTGCTAGCTGAACTTATGAAATTTTGCATAAGCAAAGATACATGGAGAAGATTGTCTAAGGCTATAATACTAGCATATGTTGGGATGGCTGCTAAAGGAGTGTTGGACAAGCTCAGCACTCTGGACTGGTATCTTTTTCAGGATGCCAATGGGCACACTGATGCATTCAGTGCTGTTAATAAAGTCCTGTACAATTCCTTAATCATTAGAACAACATCCTTGGACTTATCAGCTCTAGTCACTATGATGTTATTGAGCCTCATCCATCTCTTGCTTGCATGAATGTTTTTTCATACTGACAAACAAGTGGAGGTGTTGAGCTAGCACCTTTCATATTGAAGACCATTTTCCAATGGAAGTATTCTTTGTGTATACTGTCCAGGAGTTCAATAAGTTTTTTGATGTCAAGAATAATCCTTTGTCTTTCACTTCTCTCATACCTTGGTATGAAAGGAGGAGTGAAAGACAAATCTAGAGCTATTGTATGAATAAGTTCTGGAGGGGATTGGATTCCATCCAACATATCAGACTCTTACTAGTGTTCATTCTATGACCAAGGGGTGGAAACCTGACAAATATTCAGTCTTCTTGTCATGTAAACTTCCTTTTAACATATAATGTATTTATTTTATCCACAATATTATTTATATTGTGGATTTATTTTTAAAATTTTTCCCTATAATATAATTTTTTAAACTAAAAATTATCAAATAAAACAATTTTCAGAAAAATTCTTCTTCGAAATTAAGTAGTTAATCAATTCTATGGAGGGAAAAAAATTATAAAATAATAAAAATAATACTTGACCTTTCAATGTTAACTAAAACATTTGTTTACATTTGAATTTAAAAGTTTTATATAGATTTATGTTATATATATGTACAATGATAAAGAATGTCCTACATAAAATTGACCCAACTCATTAACAACAATATAAATGAACTTAGTCCAAAGGCAGTCATTAGATACTTTATTTTAACATTATTTAAATATATAGAAACTTAAAAAAGATGCTGAAGTTCTAGACTGGCTTATATACTTTTCCTTCTAAATATCCCCAATAATATTTACATCACTAATGCTTCATCATCTCAGTTGGGTCAATTTTAAGTGGGGCATTCCCTGTATATACATTTTCAGATATTTTAACTTATAAAATACATACTCCACTTACTGTAATTATGGATAATATTATCCATAATTACAGTAAGTGGAGTCTGTATTTTATAAGTTTAACATAATATTATCAGTCAGTTAATATCATCAAAATTAGCAGATCCCAAAACATACAAGTTATAATACATTACAAAAACTTATATTGTTGTAATCAGAAGTCAGTTATTCAGTTTAGGGGTCCCAAAGTGATTGCAATAAGAAAAGCCTACTGTATAATAACAAATAAAATAAAAACTCAAAAATATAATTACAGTATATAATTGTGACATAAATTCAGCTTGTAAGTTTAAAAGAATAAAATTTGTAACATTTCTTTACTTAAAAGAAGAAAACATATTTTAATGTATATGACACTATAAGTAACATTAAAAAATTAAGAAAATAATAATTAAGAAGTTAAAAAAATAAATCATACTTAAATATANTCTAGTCACTATGATGTTATTGAGCCTCATCCATCTCTTGCTTGCATGAATGTTTTTTCATACTGACAAACAAGTGGAGGTGTTGAGCTAGCACCTTTCATATTGAAGACCATTTTCCAATGGAAGTATTCTTTGTGTATACTGTCCAGGAGTTCAATAAGTTTTTTGATGTCAAGAATAATCCTTTGTCTTTCACTTCTCTCATACCTTGGTATGAAAGGAGGAGTGAAAGACAAATCTAGAGCTATTGTATGAATAAGTTCTGGAGGGGATTGGATTCCATCCAACATATCAGACTCTTACTAGTGTTCATTCTATGACCAAGGGGTGGAAACCTGACAAATATTCAGTCTTCTTGTCATGTAAACTTCCTTTTAACATATAATGTATTTATTTTATCCACAATATTATTTATATTGTGGATTTATTTTTAAAATTTTTCCCTATAATATAATTTTTTAAACTAAAAATTATCAAATAAAACAATTTTCAGAAAAATTCTTCTTCGAAATTAAGTAGTTAATCAATTCTATGGAGGGAAAAAAATTATAAAATAATAAAAATAATACTTGACCTTTCAATGTTAACTAAAACATTTGTTTACATTTGAATTTAAAAGTTTTATATAGATTTATGTTATATATATGTACAATGATAAAGAATGTCCTACATAAAATTGACCCAACTCATTAACAACAATATAAATGAACTTAGTCCAAAGGCAGTCATTAGATACTTTATTTTAACATTATTTAAATATATAGAAACTTAAAAAAGATGCTGAAGTTCTAGACTGGCTTATATACTTTTCCTTCTAAATATCCCCAATAATATTTACATCACTAATGCTTCATCATCTCAGTTGGGTCAATTTTAAGTGGGGCATTCCCTGTATATACATTTTCAGATATTTTAACTTATAAAATACATACTCCACTTACTGTAATTATGGATAATATTATCCATAATTACAGTAAGTGGAGTCTGTATTTTATAAGTTTAACATAATATTATCAGTCAGTTAATATCATCAAAATTAGCAGATCCCAAAACATACAAGTTATAATACATTACAAAAACTTATATTGTTGTAATCAGAAGTCAGTTATTCAGTTTAGGGGTCCCAAAGTGATTGCAATAAGAAAAGCCTACTGTATAATAACAAATAAAATAAAAACTCAAAAATATAATTACAGTATATAATTGTGACATAAATTCAGCTTGTAAGTTTAAAAGAATAAAATTTGTAACATTTCTTTACTTAAAAGAAGAAAACATATTTTAATGTATATGACACTATAAGTAACATTAAAAAATTAAGAAAATAATAATTAAGAAGTTAAAAAAATAAATCATACTTAAATTACTATTTTACCTTTGGAATGTGCGTCGCTGAACATAATTCTCTCTTACATATTCAACTATTTGTTTTTGAGTTCTTCCACTGTATCTATATTAAAGATTAAAAAATAAATAAAAGTAAAACATGTAATTACTTTTAATTAAAATCATTTGATGTTTTAATACTGTATTTTTAATGTATGAAATTAAAACTTAATTACAAAAAATAATATAAATTTCTTATGAAATAATTGGTAATTTTCAATGGAAAAAATCAAGATTTTTTCCTACAGTAAAATCTAAATTTCTTTGTGTATTATATTTTTCAGATACGAAAAATCTTATTAAAAATGTTCATTTAGCTTTTTATTTCATTTATTGTAGAATCTAAATTATTAGCATATTCATAGAAGAAATTCAATTAATTTAAAGCAGCACTAGAAATGCATTTAATTATTTGAAGGTTAATTAATAATTTAACTGGTTAGTTTAATTTGTTTAAACACAATAAAAATGAATGTGTACTGTAAATCTAAAGTAAATCTGTAAATGTCAGTAATAATTCCAATAATAATTTAACAAAATAAATAACCCCCAAAAAATTAAATCTGACATAAATTACATACACAGTAATGATTCCCAAAGTGGGCACTATCAAAGTAGAAGAGAGGTACAGGAAAAGAAGAAGGATAAAAATTCATTTTGAAAAATTTTATTATTAAACTTCAAATAGATACACTAAAATCAGTTTCTCAAAGTGAGACCAATTGTTGATAAAGCAACATCCCAATGCTACCACTCAAGAAAGCTTACATCAATTACTAGCAAGTTACCTGTCTGGCACTTGTTCCACTTTGTCACCATTTATATAGATGTTGACCTTCCTATCCTTTTTTCCAATCCAAAGCACTTTGGTTTTGTTAATGTTAATTTTCATTTTGAAGACTGCACATCCCCTCTCTAGTCCACTCAGGATCTTTCTCATTTTACCCTTGCACTCTGCCAGAATTACCATATCATCAGCATACCTTAGGCACTAAATCTGCCTTCCTCTGATTTTAATGCCTTTCTCTTCTAGATAATTCATAATCATCTTTTTCAAGTATATGTTGAAAAGAAGCGGTGATAGGCAGCACCCCTACCTAACACCCTTTTCAATCTTGATTTTCTCTCTGTATTGACCATTTACTTTAACTACTTCTCTTCTCTCTGATATTTATACAAGTTGGGTATTAATCTCCTGTCATTCCAATCTACTCCTTTCTTTTTCAAAATATCCATCAACTTTTCCCAGTCAATTTTGTCAAATGCATTCGCTAGATCTATAAAACACACCAACATTTCTTTTCCTTTTTCAATGTATTGTTTTCCTATAGTTATCAGTATCCCTACTGCATCTCTACTGCCTTTTCCCTTTCTGAACCCAAACTTTCTTCCCTTATGAATGGATTCAGTTTTCCATAGAGGCATTTCTCTAATATTCTTAAAAGGATTTTTGCAGTTTGATAGATCAGGCTAATTGTTCTGTAATCTTCACATTTGATTGTTTTATCTTTCTTTGGAATGGAAATTAAAATATTCCTCAGAAAGTCAGTGCCTGTATCATAGATCATGTTGCAAAACCTGGCAACTTTCTTAATTCCATTTTTGCCCATATTCTTAATTAATTCTATATGGATGTTATCAATGCCTTCTGATTGTGAGGATTCGAATCCAGACTTTTCGTGTGTTTATATTATTGCATCATAAGAACACATTGTAGCCATACTTTCATTCAATAACTGTCAACTTTTACACCTGGGAGCTAAATATTTTTTAAGTTCTCAGGCCTAATAACGACACTTTCTCATCACCTTTTGACCTAATATCGCGTTTTCACAAGTATAACATTAGAACAGAACAACAACGTGACGCAATCGTTGCCCTTCTTTCGGAAGAGAAGTTTTCACCCGTACCTTGTCCTAAGTGCCTGAATATTCGGATATCTGTGAATCTATCATTTTATTCTACGTTTTTATATCCTACTAAAATATCGGAAAACATCATTGAAAAATATCATCAGAAAACATCGTACCATCGTCTAACACCTTTGCGGATACTGTACGTTCTATCATTCTTACGAATACTTCCTCTACCGGATACCCAAACTGACACCCCAAACTTTCTTTCCTTCACCAAGAACACTCGAGAATCTCCAGCAAGACAACAAACAAGGTATTTATCGCCACGCGCAACTTATGTAAACTCTCTCTCTCACAAATCAGGGAAAAACGTAATATCATATATAGCCAATATTTATTAAATCATAGAAATTATCAAAAAACTAGCCTATTTAAAATCAAAATGTATGGCCTCTTGTTACCCATTAAATAATTGTTAAGTTAACCTGTGCTGTCTCTCCCTTCTATCTCGACTCTGATCGCTCTATTACGCGACCACTCACGTGACCCAAATAACGCAGCTTCTGTGTCCGCCAAGATGCGGTGGTGTCATCCTGACAGGGCACCAAAGAGGTGCCGACCCTTCGGTCACATGATTTTCTATTTCTTAATCCTTCTAACTATACTCATAACCTCTTCCATCAAGATTGGAGCTCCTTTATCTTTATTCACATCACTTTCTTCTTCTATCTTTAGTTCTACATTATCTTCTGCTCTGTACAGACCAATTATGTATTCATACCATGTGTGCAGGATCTTCTCATTATTTATACTCTCTCCATTTCTGTCACTAATAGTTACTCTCTTAGCCCTTCTGAACCGGAATGCATTCTTAACTTTATCATACATGAGTTCAAATCTTTTTGACCTTTCCAGACTTTCAATTTCTTCTTATTCTCTTTCAAGCCACTCTCTTTTGGCTTTCTTCATCACTCTTCTTGGCTTATTGTACAGTTCTTTGTATTTTCATTTTCCTTCTTCAGAGTTTATATTTATTCACTTTATTCACCATTTCCAATCCAGGGTTTACAAGTTCTTTGACCTTTTTTCTTTCCTACCCATTCTCCTGCTGTGGCATAAATCTTTTAGCTTCATATATATCCACAATTCATTTGGTCCTTCAGCATCCTGTTTATCTGTTTCTTTTATTTTTTTATTCGGATACTAATCTAAACATTTCACTATTCTTTTTCAAATTTTCTAAATCCCATTTTTTATTTTTTCTCTTTGTGAACTTCTTAAACCTCATTTTGACTTCTGCAAGTAAGAGGTTGTGATGATCATAAAATACACTTCATGTGAATGTTCAAATAAAATAAAGTAATTAACACTTCAGAGTTGCGGCATTACAAATTGCAAATTTGTAACGCCACAGCACTGAAGTGTTAATTATGTTATTTTAAGAGGTTGTGATCTGAGTCTATGTCTAAACCTGGATAGGTGCTGACATTCTTAGTACAATTGTCTGATTTGATATCTGTTGTGTCCCCAGGATCTTTCAATGTCTGTAACCTTCCCTAATGTCTTTGAAACTATGTATTTGTAATCATCATACTATGTTCTTTGCGGAATTCAACCTACTTTTCTCTTCTCCTGTTCTTGCTTCCCAATCCATACCTTCCTACATTATTTTCCTCTCTCGTGTTTCCCACCACAGCATTCCAATCACCTAATAACAATAGAAAGGCATTTCTGTCCTCCTTTTACATAATTTCTTCCACAAGTTTGTATATTTCCTCTACCTCTTCATCTTCATCTGAACAAGAGCTGGTAGGCTTATGTACTTGAATCAGTACTAGATCTTTTGGTTCTACTTGGATTCTGACCATCATAACTCTGTCATTTATGTAATCAACTTTAATTACCCAAGATGCAAATTCTCTTTTTAATACTATCTCCACTCCATTCATTGCTTTCCTTCCACCCAAAAATTAAAGCTTGATATCATCACTCACTAATTTTCCAGTGTCTTCCCATTTCACTTCACTTAGTCCAACTAGGTCTAACTTATTGATTTTCATATAATTCTTCAGATTTTCCAGCTTTCCAACCTTCTTTAAGGTCCTCATGTTCCAAGTTCCAATTCTCAAGAGTCTCTGTGGAGGTTTTTACAGGTTGACAATCTGGGAAGCCCCTTCTTTCCTATATCAAGTAAGGTGTTGCAGTTGGAAATTATTACAACCCTAACACAGTTCTCTTTATTTCTACCTGTACTCATCTTATTAGGGAGATTGCTACATTTGTAATAAAGCTTAGTAGTTTCCTATTGCTTTCTATGATTTCTATGCAAGAACCTATTACAGATCTTTAATACAAACCTTTATGGCCTCACTTTAAACCTGGACCAATTTAGTCCCACAGATGCACATTTCTTGAATATTAACATAACATTCCATAACAATAATATCATCACTGGGATACACTATAAACCAGAATTTAGGCCTCCATTCATTCCATCAAACTCTAATGACCCCTTTATATATAAAGCAGAGGCCTTTAGAGCCTTGTTAGTCAAGAGAACATTCACACATTGTTCTAACATAAATGACACCTGGAAAAAACAACACACCTAAAACATATAGTGGTAGCTTATGGATATTCCAAAAACTTATTCAGAAACTAGCAAACACATATTCCTGTAAAATATAAAACCAAGGAAACAGTATGGAAACACAGCTCAATCTTCAATTAAGCATATAATAATGGATTACTACCCTCACTTAGGTTCATCATTAGGGAGATTGCCAAATATTCATAGGTAAGCATTAGTTACAAATGCAATTGCATAGTATATTTATATTGGACAGATTATTACAGAACAATAAAATCAGATAGATATCTAAAAAATATAAGGTGTCTACTGTGTCTCCATCTATGATAATAGGTTTAAATGTAAACTAGTATAGATAGGGGCCACAAGTCAATCACTTTTGGTGCAATTAAAAGAAATATAGCATTGAACACAACAAACAGATCATGGCATTAGTCTTTTATGCCACAAAGTTTGGAGTGACAATGAAATTAGAGGAAGCTAAACTAATCAAGAAAGTCTTTGATGAAAAACACACCAGAACTGTAGTAATCCCAAAGACTTATAAAGCATCCAAAGACAAATTGTGTCAATGCAAAAGACAGATCTTGTCATTGCACAACAAATATTTTATGATGATAAGTGAGGAGAATAAAGCCAAAATCTAATAGCTATGTAATTTTATATATCTTCCTAAAAAATTAATCTCAACAAATAGTGATTAATGTACTAAAGTGATAAACATACTAAAGCAATTACAAAATTAAAAAAAAATTCTAATACATTTTAGAACATTAAGGCATTCCATTTTTTTAAAAATAAGAAGTTCCAGTTAGACTTGAAGCTGACTAGTGAATGTAGTCAAAAATGCTTGTAAAATTATCTACTCTACTTCTTACAAGGAGACCCTATGGCTTTGGGGGAAACAGATTTTGATGATCTTTGGTGTAGAGGTAGTACACCATGTGAGTGTACTACCTATAAAATACTAAACTGCAAAACTCAAATACAATCGAGAAAAACGAACTTTTCTTTAGCACTTTATATATAAGTTACACATACTTCCGCCTACATGCACTTTATATATAAGTTACACATACTTCCGCCTACATTAAAATTATACCACCAAAATGTACTCCATTAGTTCAACCATGTGATGTCTATTTTTATAGACAAATAAAAAATTCATTAAATAATTACAAAATAACGCTGAACTACTGGACAAAAATTATGAAATTCATTCTCGAAAGGATTGCCTGAAAATATACATTCAATTATCCATTGTCAATTATCAGCACCAATATTTTGCGACATGATAAAAAATGTTTGGTATGCCAGTGGACTCTATGATATAAGAAAGTTTTTTACAAATGTAAATGAAGTGTGTTTCTCATCAGACCATTAACAAATACCTTGCAATTGTAAAAAAGCAGCAGTTATTTGTTGTTCTTGGTGTAGACAGAATTTTTGTTTTGAATGTTTTTACCATAAGTATCAATCAGGATCATGTACATCTGACAATGATATGTAATTATATAATATTGTTGAATAAATTAAATTTGTTTTTCTTCATTATATTTGAGTTTTGCACTTTAGTATTTTACAGGTAGTACACTCACATGGTGTACTACCTCTACACCAAAGATAATCAAAATCCATTTCCCCAAAGCCATAGGGTCTCCTTGTTAGATTGATCTTTTTTTTGAACATAGATATAAGTTTCAGCTTTCAGATATTGCAATTTATAAACCTAGTTTACTATGTATTATTGCTTCATTCACATTCAGACATTTCATAAATATATTTTCTTCTTTCTTATAAAATTTTAGCACTAAGTATTGGAGAAATGATCACTTCATTATGAAATTGTTAGAGGACACTAGTAGTCTTCTAGACAATTGCAACTAAATCAGAACAGTAAAAAAGACACTACATCATCTAAATAAATCTATCAAATAAAAAAAAAACTTCATACTAATGATGATGTATAGGAAGATTTTTACTTTTATATATCCACAGATAGTTACAAATTAATCTTTCATTGTTACTTCATATAAAAAGCAATTGGCTATTGCAGCGAAAATGAATAGACAGGAATGAAAAAAATATTATGCACAAAAAGAACTTGCAGTATATAAAATTTATTTGTTGTATATTTTAACTAAGTTATTTTTAAAATAATTTTACACAATTTAGAAAAAAAAAAAAAACAAATAGAATACTTTAAATATTTTCTAATAGAAAATAACTAACCTAAAAGATGAGCCTCTGCTAAAAATTCTTGGTTTCTGCCTTGGTATTTTTTTTACTTCAGCACAACGGAAAAAAGCATGGTTTTCAATACATTTCTTCCAAAAATTCTTGCTTTCATTACGATGCTCAAAGAAAAATTCTACAGTATCTTTATAATAACCCTATAAAATTCAATTTTGTAGTAGTAATAATTTTAATGTTATCAAAGATATATCATTATAAGAATGATTTTTATAATAAATTAATCTAAGCATTTTATCCTTAACTGAATATACCACTTTTACCATAAAATATAACAAACAGATATACATTTGCAAATTTGTAGTAGTATTATATCATGCTTAACTCATATCTCCCTTTTTATACTCAGGACTTCAATTGAAAAATGTTACAATAACAAAAAATGTGACTTGAATATATTAGAATAAAATTTAACATTGATAAAAAACTGTATTTTATTAAATTTAGTAAATAAATACATATATTTCCTTGCATATTACTGACATGTTTATTATTCTTTTATTTTTAAATTAATACTTTTTGTATTACATCTCTTTTATACTCACCCCTTCAATTAATGTTAAATTATTTTATTTATATGTAGGCTATATACATATAATTTGGCATACTTATATATCATTACAACAGTTGTTTGCTAATTGCAATGGTAATTAAATAGCAAAAACCCATTTTCATATGAAAACACTAAAGTTTAACAAGTTTCAGAAATAAAATTCAAATATAATTGCATATGAATAAGTTTCGTTATTCATATGCAATTAAGTTAAGTTTATATATTAGTTTAGTTACTAAACTAATAAATTAATCTTCAGAAAAATATACAATCATTACATTTTAGTTTTACATAAATTGATTTCTTGAATTATAATTATAAAACTATATTTAGTCTATGCTCCTGCATTTCCACTAATTGCAGTATGAAATCTGAAAATATATTTTTCCTCTCTATACAAAATGCTACTTCTTCAATTGTTTGTAAATTTACAAAATTATTATTATTATTATTAAGCTTTAAAGTTTTTTAAAAACAAGTGATTATGAGCATAACTTCTTGTTTATAAAATTTTTCATAATAATAAAACATAGGTATTTTGAAATGCTTAGTGTTTCAGAAAAATTAAAAATAAAATTGGGATATTCAATACATCAGAGGCTAAATAAATATTTCAAAAATAATCACATTTTAATTTTGATATAATTTAGAGAGAAAACATATTGTTCTTCTAAATGTAAGATATTATTTGAAAATTCTTTCAATAATAATCTATACATCATTAATATATTTTGCTTTTAATGTTTAAAGCTTTTTGATATTTTATTTTCAATAGTATAGCATAATGAATAAAAATTATTGTGTTATAACTTTGCTTAAATTTATAACAAGAAATTTTTTTGGTATTACCATGTAATGTTGAATATAAAGATTCTGAAAATATTTAATAGAATTAGACTCCAACTGAAGATGTTGTCTTCTCTCTAAGAAAATTGCAGTTTTTCATTATATTATATAAAAAATATTCCCCATAAACTTGTATTTTGTTTATAAATTATTTAAAAATTTCTTTAATTAGTATTATTTCTTCTTTCCAAACAGTTTCAATATTCAATTAAATTTACTATCCATTAAGATAAATACACAAACACACATTTAATTATAAATGAAAAACTTTTTTAATTTTTAATTTAATTTTTTTAAAATTTAATTTAATTTTTAAAAACAAATTTTTAATTTAATAAAATACATTTAAGAAAAAATGTATTTTATTAAATTTAAAATTTGTGGTTTTTCCTAGTTATTTAAAAAATTAATCTTTTGTTTTAAGAATAACCTATAAACATTTAAATTTAAAATAATGTTGACAATATTATAAAGCAAGTTAACAAAAAAAGGAAAAAATAAAAAATAAACTTACATAGCCTTCTGGAAGTAATTTAATTAGAAATCGTTTCCTTTTAAAACTTAATTTTCTTATTTTAGCCCATGAAAATGTATTAATTTTTGTAAAATTCTGAAATACTAAAATTCCCATATGAGCAACAGCCAAATTAAGCACCACTCCTTCATGATCCTGTTCAAAATAATATTTTTAAAAGTCATGTAATGTAAAAACTAAATCAAAACTATTTTTATTTACTCTAGCTGGTGTCATCTGAATTCCATAAAGTTCACAACGTCTAGCTGTTTCCAAAAGATTGAGATCTGCTTCAGCTGGTGACTGACCACTGTAATACAAATAATAAATTTTATTTTAACTTGAACATAAACCCGGTGCAAAATAACCTTCAAAAATACTCATTTTAATATTAATAATGTAAGAAATTCATAAAAAAATCAACTTTCTTTAAAGTACAACATGATTAAGCAAAGTGATTGCTGTAATGAATTGGGTTATTTTTGTCTACTATTAATAATTAAATTATAATTAATTCGGTACTACAGGTAGGCATTAGGCACCATCTCTTATCATACTCCAGGCAAATTCTTTTACTCCAGAATATTCAAAAATTTTTAATAAATATTAATTTAATTACAATTATAATTATTAAATTTAATAAGAGCTTTTAATACTTCTAGTAGCAAATTAATTAGAATTTAATTATTATTAAAGCGCACATGAAAACCAGTTGTATAAACCATAGAGACGCCGACTCATTGTCTACTGCGTGGAGGTCCTTTTACAATTATTAATTTTCACTATTTATTTGGTTTATTTGTTAATTTTTCATTAAAGCGTCCGCTAGGGCTCTTTCCGTTAATTTTTATTTTTTGTATTTATTTTGAACGCATTTTATGTTCTATATTTAATATTCTATTTTTGGTAACTGAAGATGATCGTTGAAAAACGATTGAAAACGTTTTTATTTTATTAAATTTTGAGGGGATTTAAATTGGTGTAGTTTATTTTACAATTTCATGAACTTCACAAATATCAACAAATACTGGCTAAATTTACATTTATTAAATTCAGTGATGTATTATAAATGAAAACTATTTAGTGAATAAATTGAACTATCTGAAAGCTAATATTATTGACCTTTGATATAATGGATATGTTAGTATCCAATGTGTAATTGTGTATTGTATCTGAAGATGCCATGGTCAGCTACATGACATATGATAAGAAAGACAAACCATCTATATTGTATTAAAATACTATATAGATGGTTAAATACAATATAAATATAAGGAAAACAATATCACACTTTCAAGCCAATATACTGTATAAACAATAGCTACTGGTATACTAATAGCTAATAATCATCATGTGCACTAAAAGTCATAGTCTTTGTTTTGAAATATATTTCCACACCTACAGATACCTTGAAATAAGCAGATTTAATCTGTTGTTTTTAAAACCTGTTACATTTGAGACTGAAAAATTAATATTACACTCTCAATTATACTTGAGTTTATTTATTAAAAATCTTTCAATGAAGTGAGAATCTTTTATTTAAAAACAAATAAGTTTTCTTGTAAACTACTATATTATTTTTCCGACTTTTCCAACGATTATTGACACTACTGCGTGCCGGAAATAGCCGTTCCCTAACGTGTACTTTACGCAGATTCGCGTTAGTGTGCCAGGCCTGGACTTTAAGCGTGCACCGAATTAAATAATGACAAAGTTTGTCAATAACAAAAATCAAATATTTAATTAAACTTCTAGTAATAAACTATATACAGTATTTAGTAAAAATCAAACAATAATTTATTCAATGAAATTCAACAAGAATCAATCCGACAA